CATCCCAGAAACCCTGTAGCCCCTCCTCAGTTACCAGCCCACACAAAACTGGCCTCCCCCTCCACAGGGAGTTGCTCCTCTCCTCCCCCGCCCATCCCACATCCCCCAGACTCTTCTCAAATACCCCCCTCAAAGGGAACCTCTATAATGACCTGAGACCTCCAAGACCTTCCTTAGATACCCCTCACAGGGAGCTGCTCCCCTACTCCATCAGGCTTATCCCAGCCCCCCCACCTCCTCTCTGTTGCCCCCAAACCCCTCCTCCTCCCAGGCCCTCCAGCTTCCTGTAAGTGTTCTGAGCCCTCCTGGCCTTCCTCAGATGCCCCAGCAGGGAGCTGCCCTCCCATCAAGCTCATCACAGACCCCCATCTTCTGAGACGCCCCCCCATGTCCACTGCTTAGCCCCCTTAAAATCCTCACATTGACCAAATCAGGGCTAGGTGGGGCCCTGGGGCCCCTTCTCTTTGGGGGCAGCTTGAGTCCCCTGCTCCAACCCCCAGATGGCTGAGTCCGATCCTGGGGACAGAAACTATGACAACATGCTGAAGATGCTGTCTGACCTCAACAAGGACTTGGAGAAGCTGTTGGAGGAGATGGAGAAGATATCTGGTATGGCAGCCTGAGGAGGAGCTCCAAGCTCCTCCCTCCTCCCTCCTCCCTGCTCCCTCCTCCCTCCTTTCTCCCTCCTCCCTCCTCTCCCCCTCCTCCTTCCCCCTTCCTTCTTTTCTCCTTTCTCTCCCCCTCCTCCTTCCTCTGTCCCTCCTCCCTCCCCTCCTCTCTCCCTCCTCCCTCCTCTCTCTCTCTCCTTTCCCCCTTCCCCTTCTCTTTTCTTTCTCCCTTTTCTCTCCCTCCTCCCTCCTCTGTCCCTCCTCCCTCCCCCTCCTCTCTTCCTCCTCCCTCTCCCTCCTCTCTCCCCTGCTCCCCTCCTCTGTCCCTCCTCTCCCCCTCCTCCCTCCTCCATCCTCTCTGCTCCCTCCTCCCTCCTCTCCCCCTCTTCCTTCCCCCTTCCTTCTTTTCTCCTTTCTCTCCCCCTCCTCCATCCTCTCTCCCTCCTGTCTCCTCTCCCCCTCCTCCTTCCCCCTCCCTCCTTTCTCCTCTTTCCCCCTCCTCCTCTCTCCCTCCTCCCTGCCCTCCTCTCTCCCTCCTCCCTCCTCTCTCTCTCTCTCCTTTCTCCCTCTCCCCTCCTCTTTTCTTCCTCCTTCCTCCCTCCCTCCACCCTGCCCCTCCCCTCCTTTCTTCCTCCTCCACTTCCCCCCTCCCTCCCTTTTCTGCTCTGCTCACTGTGTCCTGGGCCCCATCTCCCTGGGCCCTCTGGGATTACTGATCCTCTCTCTGTGGAATCATTTACTTAGTGTTGATGCAAACTCAGCGTGAATCTTTTAAAGGAAACTGAGACTGTCAGGTGTCCAGCAGAGAGGCCTGGGGCAGCAGCTGGGTAGTTCCCCAATTGCCTTCTCAGGGACAATTTGCAGGGTCACAGCTGTAGAATCTCGGGCTCTCAGTGCTGAGGACAGAGGACCAGCAAGTACATTCCAGGCATGAGGGACAGCTTGGGCAAAGGCCTGGAGGAGAGAGCTGATGGCGCCTAGCCTGGTGTGCCTGATATGTAGAGCAGAGGAGGGGGAGAAATGTAAACTGAGCCTGGAGAAGTAGGCCAGCACCAAACTGCAGGGCACTGTCAGTGCCAGACACAAGAGTTGGCATGGATCGGTGCTCGGGGTGGACCTACCTGCACTTGAGGACTGGCATTTTGGCAGCTGGGGAGAGGAGAGGCGCTTGAGCCTGGGGCAGGGCCTGAAGTCAGGCCACAGCTGCTGGGGTAGCTGGGAGGGGAGAGGGGCTCCGTACCCTGGGAGGAACCATTGGCAAGAGCTGGTTGTCTCAGGGAGAGGGAAGAGGCCAGGATGGGGCAGGGCTGGGGCCTGGGGGATCGGTTAGAAAGGACAGCTGTGAGAAAAACACAGAGGGAAGAAAATCCTGAACTCCATTGTGGCTGTGTTGAATTTGGGGACCAGTGGGACATTAGGAGGAGAAACGTATCAGTTATCAGAGGATGAGGCAAGAGGTTAGGGCTGGATTTGGGAGTCATGGGAGCCAGGGAGGTCACCAGAAGAGAGGGGGGAGAGAGAACAGAGGAGGACCCCAGTACCCTTGGGGATACCCGTGTTTGGGGCACCTAGGTGGCACAGTGCCTGGAGTCAGGAAGACCTGAGTTCGAATGGCGCCTGCTGTGGAAACCTGGGCAAGACTCTTATCTCTTGTGTGCCTCAGTTTCCTCACTTATAAAATGGGGATCCTAATAGCACCTGCCACCCAGGGTTGTTGTGAGGATCAAATGATCACATTTGTAAAGTGCTTGGCACAGGACCGGGTGGCCAGTCATCCCTTCCTTTGGGTTTAGCCCTCGTTGGCTCCAGCAGGCCCTTAACCCCCCAGCCCGGGCCTCCTTCAAATAAGCTGCTGCCTGAGCCGGCAGGCGCATCTCATCCAGCCTCCCTGAGCCTGGGGAGGGGGGGGCGGCTTGCCCACAGTCCGCTGGGACAGGAGACCAGGAGGCCAGGGAAGCAAGATTCAAACCCTCGTCTCCTGACTCCAGACTTCACCAGCCACGTTCTTCTGACTTTTCTTCCCTTTTCAGTCCCATTTTTGGAATATAGTCCTAGGTGTGGCTGTAAGCCTCTAACCCTGGGCCCTCAGGCTCAGAAAACAACCTACAAATGTGATTGTAATAGAATGGAGACCCTTAAGTGGGCAGCCACATGTGGCCATGGTGTACAGAGCGCTGGGCCTGGAGGCAGGAAGATTCCTCCAGAGTTCAAATCCAGCCTCGGGCACTTAGTAGCTGTGTGACCCTGGGCAAGTCACTTCACCCTATTGCCTCAGTTTCTTTATCTGTCAAATGAGCTGGAGAAGGACATGGCATAGCACTCCAATGTCTTTACCAAGAAAACCCCAGTGAGGTCATGGAGAGCTGGACACAACTGAACAAGTGTGCCAGACGCTGTGCCAGGGCCTTTAGAATGATTGGCTCATTTGGTCCTCACCGCAACCCTGGGAGGTAGGTGCTATTATTATCCCCATTTTACCGATGAGGAAACTGAGGCAGGCAGAGGTGAAGTGACTTGCCCAGGGTTGAAGTGTCCAAGGTTGTTCCACCCTTTCCAGTAGCCTTGACAATAGTGATTTCGTTCTTGTTCCCAGAGGAAGAGCCAGAGGTGGAAAGGTGTGGGGGTGGTGGGAGAAAGGGATGTGAGGCATGACCTGGGGCTGTAAGGGGAGGGGGGTGAGTCACTGCTCCCCAGCTCAGCCCCAGGGCTGAATCCGCATAAGCGCAGGGGTGCTTGGGGGTTGGGGGAGCCCCATCTGCCTCCCAACAAACTGCGATCTCGATCTCGAAGAAGCCTCCCCTCGGGCCGCCGGCCCATCTCTTTGGTTTGGTAAAGTGTGGTAGCTGGATGCCTTTGGGACTTCCAGAGCTCGGCTCCCCCGTGAGCTCTCTGGTGGGGAATGACTTTGGTCACTGCTTCAATTTCCTTCCTTCCCAGACCCTCCTCACACCCTTTGAGGCCTGCCCGACTGAAACTGGGCTTTCCTTCCTGCTCACCAGACTCCAAGTCTTTCTGCAGTCTTCCTCCTTGCCCGCAGCTGTGTCGTGTGGATGCTGTTGGCCCCCCATCCCGACCCCTCGCTTCCCTTTGGCTTCAGTCGTCCCATTGCCCATGTCCTTCTAGGGTTCTCACCTGCTTCCTGGGCTGGACTTTTCCCTGACCTCTCAAGGGGAGTGTTTGCCAAAGATCCGCCCTTCTCCTCTTTTCTTTCATTTCACTTTTCTGCCCTCATTGGTCTCATTCACCTTCATAGTTTAAGCTCCCAGGTGACCCCTAAACCTGAATCTCCCGCCATGAAATCTCTTCTCAGCTCCAGGCCTCTACATCCAGGAGCCCACAGGACACCTCAGCTCCTCATGTATCATTGCTTGGCCAGCCCGCTGGCACCGTCAGTGTCCAAAGTGGAGCCTGTTAGCGCCTTCCCTCCCTGTTCCCACCTGTGGCATTACCAGGCAGCCAGGCTCCCACATTCTTCAGTTGGACTTGATCCTGGACTACTTCTCCTGTCTGAGTGTTGTGGCTACTAAGTCCTGGCCAGCCCACAATGAGAGCCAAAGCCAGAGACACGGAAGGGCTTGGAATAACATCTAAGAGGGCACCCTTACTTTGTAAATGGCACAGAGCCAGGGTTCTCCCCAGGTGTTCTTACTGCATATCTGACGCTCCTCCTATCCCCTTCTACCCGGAGTGCTGGCACACCTGGAACGCATCACTTCTTCTCTCCTCTCCCTGCTCCCACATAAGGCTTTAGCACCAGGCTGCACTATTAGGGGCCTCTTTACTGGGCCGCCCAACTCCCATCCCAGGTCATCCCAGGAAGGCCTCCCAAGGCCATCCAAACTCCTTTTGCACCAGACCAGCTGCCCAGGCAAGGAGCTTGCATTAGACAGGTGAAGGGATTGAAAAAACTCTCTCAGGCCATACCCTGTAGAGATTAGGGCCTCTTAAGTGAAAGATGAGGAAAATACTGCCCTCCAAAACTCTTGCTTGGGCGTGGGGCTGGCCAGGCAAACATTTTTTGGCAAAGCCTCACTAAAGGCTTCCAGGAAGCCCCCAGGCAGCCACTGGCTTCCCTCTCTTACCTCCTCTGGGAAATGATGGGGGTGGGAGAGGGTTCTAAGCCAAATCTACTTTTCTGTGGAACACTGTGGGGGATAGTAATCTGTGTTGGCATCTTATTAGATTAAATTCTATGCTGGTAGGAACTGAGGTTTCTCTCTGTGCACCACAATCCAGAACAGACCTTGGTGGTTCTGTGGTCTCCGTAATGTAGGCATTTCCTCCAGCAGTGAAGGTGCTCTGTACCCATGCCCTCTCATCCTGTGTGGTGACTCACATCCACACCTTGCCACAGGTCCTTCACAAGGGGTCCTTCCAACATTCCAGGGCCCTTGCCTCTAGACTTCCTGACACAGATATCATGGATTCCAGTAGAGGCTATGGGCTGTCTTTGGGGTGCCTCAATCTCACTACATAACCAGCTTGTTTTCCCAGTCATACATCAGTCTGATGGTATCATTTACACCCCTTCTCCTGTACAGTTCTTCACTAGTAACCAGCTGAAGTCTCCTTGTGCCCACCATTTCCCACCCATTCCCAATGCCCTTTGGGGAGGGCCCTGCAGGGTTCAGAGACCATTGAGTTCCTTGATTCACTCCCCATTCAGCATCACTGAAACAATGTTAGTGACACGAGTATGATCTGGGACTTCAAGGCCCAGATTCATAGAATCCAATTCAGTTGATCCAGCTACAGATTTATTGAAAGTATAAATATTAATCTAGTGGGTGAAGGGTATGAAGGACTCAGGTGCCCTATTTCCCTTCTTGCCACCTAGGGTCTCAGTGCTGGCTCTGGAGCCGAGAGATAGGGGACTCTCTGTTTCTCAGGAGGATCCTGAGTGGCCCTGGGCAGTCTGGGGCTTTGAGGGTGGGAAATAGCCAGGATGAAGAGAAGAAAGGAAGGGTCCCAGGGCCTGCAGGGCCCGAGGTTGGCCCAGCTCCTTCCATGCATGGTCCAGTTTAAAGGGTGGAGCAGGACAAGGGGCAAGGCCAGCAGTGGGGTAGCTCGGGATGAAAAGGGAGGGTCCTGGGAAGTGCCCTGCCTCCAGCCTTAACCCTGTGTTCCTGCCATCCTCTGATGGAGCCACTCCCAGAAGTCTTCCCAAGATAGGCAGCCGGCTCCCCCCACTGCGCATTCAGCCCAGCTCAGCTAGCCCACATCAAGAGCTAAGGGCATCAGGGCATCTGCCCAGCCAGCCGTGTATATTCCATTCACTTGGTTGGTATTTGCTGAGCATCTCTCTGGTACCTGTGTATTATGCAGGTGAGATTTATGTAATACTAATTACAGGGTTAAACATTCCCCCCAGAGCAGTGATCCCCCCCCTTCTGTCCCTAGCGCTTAGCCTGGGGGGGTGATTTTTATTGCCTAGTATTTGAAGTGCCAGCCCTTCCTATACAGAAGAGAAGGGTCTATATTCCATGTGCATCCATGGGGAAGGACTGGGATGGAACAAGGGACAAATTAGATAAGAGAAAATGTAATATGGATAAAATGGAAGAGGGATAATGAGTCAGTATCCCACACTTGATTTCAAAATACCAACTTCCTAATAGGATGTGGGGGGATATTGCTAGACAGTAGTTGGTATGGAAAAAGACCTGAGGGTCATAGTGAAGCAGGAGCTCAATTGGAGTGCACTAATGGGCAGAAGTGGGGGTGGGAGGAGGGTGCAGTGCCACGTTGGGCTCAGCCAACCTTTCTTGCACTGAACTTTAGAGAAAAGAGAGGGGCGGCCTAGGAAGGCAGCAGGCCTCGTCAGGGAGGGTGCAGAGGGGATTCCTTCACTGGGCCGGAGGCACGGCCAGCCAGATGCCTTCCGCAGGGCCCCAGTTGCCAAGCATCGCACTGCAGGCGGCAGCTGTGCCCTACTGAGTCACATCTAAGCACCCTCCTGCCAGCCCGGCCGGCCGGTGTGCGTTCGAAACACCTGCCCTTTCCGCTGAGTGGCTGGTACCAATAGCGCTTCTTGCAAAGTGCTCAGCTCTCCCCACCTTCCAGTCTCTGGTGACAGGACGTAGGAGTCAGCAAGACTTGGGCTCGCATCCTGCTCCAGACATTTACTAGCTTGGTGACCCTGAGCAAGTTGTTTGATGTCTCTTGCCTCAGTTTCCTCATTTGTAAAATGAGGGGCTTGAACTTGATGACCTCAGAGCTTCCTTCCAGCTCTGCTCTATGAGCTGATTTTTTTTCATTTCCCCGAAGTGAGGCTCCCAGCCCCCTGGCTCCGACTCCTTTGGGCAGATGGCATGGAACCTGGATCCCTCCCTGTGCCTTTGTTGCTCCAGCCTGGCAGCCCTGCCCCTCCTAACACCCCTGTCTGGTCATTGCAGTTCAGGCGACCTGGATGGCCTATGACATGGTGGTGATGCGCACCAACCCTGCCCTGGCGGACTCCATGCGGCGGCTGGAAGATGCCTTCTTGAACTGCAAGGAGGAGATGGAGAAGAACTGGCAGGAACTGCTAAATGAAACCAAGCCCAAGCAATAGGCCGTTCCCTCCCTCCCCCTCCCCTGTGCCTCCGCGACTCGGCCGCGGTGGGAAGAGAATGGGGCCCTCGGTGGCTGAGAAGGAGGGACCCGATCTATAGTGTGTATGCACAAGTGCTCACTGCCCAGTGAAGGTGTTTTCAAGCGCACTCCGTGTCTGGTTTTCTCTCGCGTGTTTGTGACTTGTCAACACCGCGCCTTGTGGAGGGAGTCACAGAGGAAATGCAATCTACCCAGGCTTTCATCAGCTAATGTTTATTTGTGCCCCGAGCAGGCTTAAGACATAGGAGGGATGGAGCATGGAGAAGGACCCATATGCCTCCGTCCCTCAGACAGGGACAGAGAAGGCCTCGGTGCTGGAGGTGGGGACAGAAGGTCAGTTCGTTCAGTCACCCTTCCCTATGGGAAGCAAGGCCCCGAGGCTCCCCAGTTAGCTGCCTTCAGATCGTCACCCTCTTTGTCTGGGAAGCCAGTTTTGAGGAGAGCACAGAAGGGGAAACCAGGCATGATGGGAGGGACCCCCAGAGCTGACAGCAAAGGGGAGCAGGAGGCCAAGGATTCCCATGGAATCACAGGGCCTGCCCTCAGGCTTCATGGGGGGGTTGGAAGGGGAGGCTCCTTTGGGCTGGGCTGTCCCCTCGTCCACTCCTCTCCTCCCCCACTCTGCGAGTCTCTTGTCCAATACCCTTAGGGCCCTCGAGGAGCGGAGATGTCTTGTGTCTATAGATTCAGACCGAGCTTCCTTCCCCCTTCGACACTGGCACCCAGCTCATGTAGCAGGAGCCAGGTAGGGGGCATTTCAGCATGCTTCAGGAGGGAAGAGGTTCTAAGCTTTCTTAGGGGGTACCCATGTCCTTGCACAGGCCACTCAGGCTGCCCCCCTCCCCTGACTCTCCAATGCCATTAGGGCAGCAGAGCTTACAGTGGGGTCTGTAGTGGCGTCAGGGCAGGGAGGGTCAGGGTAAAAGGACAGAGAATACCCTTGCCCCCCATAGGGAAGGGCTTCAGCTCGCGTACCTCAAACCGTGCTGTTCCCTCAGCCACAGTGAAGGTGGCCGTGACCTGCTGGTTGAGGCAGTAGATGGTGTTCCCCAGAACGGCACATCGGAGTGGGATGGGCTCTGGAAGGGGCAGGGGGGCAGCCTGGCTCCAGGACCCGGTGACTGTATTGTAGCGCATCACGGCAGCCCCTACACCACGTAACAGGTCAAAGCGGTACAAAAAGCCCCCCAAGGCCACCATGTCGCTGGAGCGCCGGTGGCTGGCGCTGTAAGGACATTCAGCCCAGCAGTCTTGCGTGGGGCTGTACTTCAGCAAGCGGTAGAAGAGGTGGCCGCCAGTGACATAGATGTCCCCCCGGCAGGCCACGGCCTCATGGGCCACGGGAAAAGTGCCCGCAGGGAGCGGGGCCCGAGAAGTCCAGTGGTCAGTACGAGGGTCGTAACACTCCATGCTGTAGAGACACTCCCCCCCTATGGCGTAGAGAAGCCCCTCCAGGGCCACGAGCTTCAGCTGGGCCCGGGCCTGTAGCATGGGCCGGACCTGGGTCCAGATATCGGTCAGTGGGTTGTAGCAGAAGACCTCGTTGGTGCAGACGGCCCCCGGGCCGGAGCCCCTGATGCCACCAGCCAGGAACAGGTAGTTGTGCATGGTGCACAGGCCGCAGCCCCGGAGGGGAGCCTCCTCGGGCACGAGGGTCAGGGGCAGCCACGTGTTTCTGCCAGGCTCAAACACATGCAGGTAAGTGCGAGGCACTGCCACTGAGGGGACCGTGGGCATCTCTGCTGCTTGGGACCCCCCTGCCAGGCCTGATCGGCTCACCCCATAGGCACTGGGCAAGACGAGCACCCCCAGCACAGCCTGGCCTCGGGTCGTCCGAAGAGCCAGGATCCTCTCCCGGTCCCCAGCGCTGAGCTGCCGGTAGAGAGGGGCCTCCCCCAGCACGAGAAGGAAGTTATCACTCATTAGGGCATAGACCTCTTCAGCTAGAGCCAGCTCCCCATGCTGCTGGGCGAAGGCCAGGGCTTCCACGCAGCTGCCCAGGTCCAGGGGCCGCCGCATGGCCGCCGCGGTGCTGGGGAGATCCTTGGGGGCGTGGCTAGGCTTGCGCTGCCCTTCCACCATCCCCCAGGTTCCGGGACGTCTCAGAAAGGCCATTAGCTGGCTGTCCTGGAGTTGTCTTTCTGTGAGGGGGGCTACCAACCCTGCAGGGGCCTCCCTCTGAGCGGGGGTTGCCGGGCTCACCTTCTGTGGCAGACTGTCCACCATCTGGCTGATGCTGCGTTTCCGGGGTCGAGGTGCAGGTTGGCCTTCAGGCATGGCCTCTTTGGGGGCCAGTGGCTCCGGCTGCTTCCTCTCTGGTGCCAGTCTGGGGTAGCCAAGGGGCTCCGAAGGAGGTGAGGGCCCCTGGGCGACACTTTGGGGGTCAGTTGTAACCATCCTTTTCTCCTCCACTTGGGCCCCATTCAGGCCCCTGGAGTTGCTTGGAGTGGTCGTTCCTGGGGTCTCCAACCCTTCTGAAGGTGATTGATCTCTGACCTTGGCCTGGGGCTCCATGACTACTGTGTTTGCCCCTGGAGTTAGCTCCCCAGTCTTGCTGCTCCTGGAGGGTACAGCTGCAGGACCCAGACACTCTGCAGGGATGCTCTGAAAGCCCGCCCCCTGGAGTTTTTCTGGGCAAGGGAAGGGATGGCTCCTCAACACCATGGAAATGAGGTTTCCCCAGTTACCACTGGGACCCTGGGGCAGAGCTCTGACTGACTGGCCACCTGGAGCTGGGTCTAGGGCTGGAGATGCTGTCAGACCCTCAGCCTTGGAAGGTCTCTGGGCACTCTTGACAGGTGAGGCAAGGGCCGGAGATGGCAGATCCTTGGGCAGGGAGGCTGTGGCAATGGGAGCTGAAGGAAGGGGTTCTGAGGGAGAGACTGAGAGGGCAGAAACCGAAGAGGATAGGGTGGAGGGAGTGTGAACAGATGAGGGAGGGCCTGTGGAAGAAGGAATTGAGGGAGGAGAGGAGGAAGGACCTGAGGATGGAGACACTGTGGGTGTGAGTGCTCTGGGAGGAACAGCTGAGGATAGCGACTCTGGGGGGACAGGGCCTGAAGATAGGAACGTTGTGGGTAGAGGGGCTGAGGGTGAGGCTCCTGTGGGAATGTGGTCTGAGGAGACAGATACTGTGGATGTAGGGGCTGAGGTTGGGGGCCCTGAGAGTGTAGGGACTGAGGTCAAGGACCCTGAGGGTACAGGGGCTGAGGTCAGGGATGCTGAGGATACAGGTGCTGAGGTAGAGGACCCTGAGGGTGCAAGGGCTGAGGAGGGGGGCCCTGAGGGTATAGAGGCTGAGGTTGAGGACCCTGAAGATTCAGGGACTGAGGTTGAGGACCCTGAGGGTGCAGGAACTGAGGTTGGGAACCCTTTGAGTGCAGGAGCTGAGGTCAAGGACCCTGGGGGTGCAGAGGCTGAGGAGGAGGACCCTTGGCATACAGGGGCTGCAGATGAGGACACTTTGGGTGCAGGGGCTGAGGAGGTGGACCCTTGGGGTACAGGGGCTGGGGAGATGGACCCTTTGGGTGCAGGGGCTGAGGTTGAGGACCCTGTGGATGCAGGGGTTGAGGCTGGGGACCTTTTGGGTACAGGAGCTGAGGACAGGGACCCTTTGGGTGCAGGGGCTGAGGTTGAGGACCCTGTGGGTGCAGGAGCTGAGGACAGAGACCCTTTGGGTGTAGGGGCTGAGGCTGGGGACCCTTTGGGTGCAGGAGCTGAGGACAGAGACCCCTTGGGTGTAGGGGCTGAGGCTGGGGACCCTTTGGGTGCAGGAGCTGAGGACAGAGACCCTTTGGGTGTAGGGGTTGAGGCTGGGGACCTTTTGGGTGCAGGAGCTGAGGACAGGGACCCTTTGGGTATAGGGGCTGAGGTCAGGGACCCTGTGGGTGCAGGAGCTGAGGTTAGGGATCCTGTGGGTGCAGGGACTGAAGACGGGGATCCTGTTGGAGCAGAGGCTAAGGATGGGAACTCTGTAGACCTGGCAGCTTTGTGAGAAGGGCCTACAGACTGAGACCCTATAGGAGGAGGTTCTGAGCTTGGAGACTCCATGGTCCTGCGGGCTGTGGGAGAAGGACCTGAAGAGGAGGATAAGCTCAATCCAGGCCCTTCATGGATAACGGTGGAATTTACTTGAGCCTGGGCATCCACAGTTTCTCCCCGAGTGCCTATAAGATTGTTCTCACGCCCGTTCCTGACCCTGCTCCCTGGCTTTGCTGGGCCTACAGGCACTGAGCCTGGGGAGGTGCTAGGGACCTGGGGGTCCTGGCCTAGACTAGTGCCCACTAGAGAGGGATCTGTAGAGACCTGCCTGGGAGCTGGGACAGCCTCAGTGGTCTCCTTCCTAATGGGCAGTGCGGACCCTTGGCCAGAACCCACCAGCTGCCGGATCGGGGCATTGGGGGGCTGGCTGAAGCTGCTGGTTATCAAGAGTTCTCTCTCCTTCCAGGGCCAGCCTTCCTCTGTGTCTGGGGCCACTGTTTGAACTTGGACTGGGGTCTGAACAGCAGGGCTGGGGGCACGTGATGCTGGAGGCCCTGTTCCCCTAGGGCTGGGCTCTGGGCCTACTGACTTACTGTCTATTCCCTCATGAACAGCAGGTGGGGCTGCCTGGGGTCCTGAAGCAAGGGGCTTGCTCTGCCCTTGAGAGACTCGCCCTTCCCCCCTGCCTCTCTTTGGGGCTGTGTCCTGGAAGCTCCCAGGTGGCAGGGCCCCTTTCTCTTCAGGTGCAGGGCCAGTGGGAGTTTCTGCTGGATCTGAGACTCTGGTGCCCAGGGTTTGGGGCAGGAGCCCACCGCGCAATGAGTCCCCAGGAGCAAGGGAGCTTCCCACATCTATGGCATCCCACACACTCACCACTGTGCCCAGGGTGAAGGGATCGGGTCCTGGCCCTCGAACACGGCTCCTGGTCCTGGGACTGGGCACCGCATCATGCTGCTGGCCCACAGGACCTTGTCCATTGCCTGGCTTCTCTCCAGCTGGGGCTGCTACCAGGAGGCTGGGTTGTTCTCTGACGCCAAATCCCCCCTCATTCCATGTGTCCGGGTGCCTTGGAGTGAAGTGTATCAGGAGGGGCCCTGGTGATGACCCGGCTTTGCTCTGTGGGCCA